CAGGGGTGTGGCCGTTTGTGTGGCCGTTTGTGTGGCCATTTGTGTAGCCATTTGTGTGACCGTTCATGTTGTCTGTGTATAGGAGACCAGCGGCGCTGGGAAAGGGACTATATACTTAATACTCTAGGAGAAAGGATTTCAGAAACGAGAGAATCTCCAGTGAGTCTAGATATGAATGACAGGAGCAAATACTCTGTCAAACCAGGAGCACGACAACCTGTAGCAAAAAGTCGATGGTCATGAGGGCCCACCTATTCCCGAACGCCCCAGGCCAACACGGCTCAGAGATTTCCGGCCACTCGGCTCCGGCTCCGGAACGAGCCGCAACGGATGAGACCATCAGGGACCAATCGACTGCGGCACGGATTGCATAATTTCGAGGCTCACTAACGACATATACTGGTGAGCACTGGCTCCGTCAGGTCTCTTGACTACTTCCCGAGGGTAAAACGAGCCAGAGTTTGACAGTGCTGCTCTGAGCCGCTGCAGATGTCCAAGGCTCTGCAGGCCGATGTACTCCACTTGCTAGCGGATGTTCCAATTGTTTAAGGCTGAAAATTGCCGTGGAAGATCTGTCAAGATTGTGCTTAGATCTATGTGGAACGTCTGAACATCCCGACCAAGCTTTTTCTTGTGTATTAGGTACACGACCCTCCATAGAACTGCGGGGTTGGACAGGTGGTTGACTGGGCGCAACAACAGATGGTACCTGGCGCGCTGCTGTCGTTCTCACGAGGATGCCGCTTTGTGCGCACGCGTGCAGATGTTGCAGTCCGTACTAATCGCGCATTCTCATGTAAAATGAGGTTGAGGGCTTGGATCAATTCGAGTCGGCGAATGACCAAAGTTTTCAAGCCAATACGGTACCGCGCCTGGCGACGTCACTGATGCCAAACCCCTTGCTTGCAGTGGCCGCTGCGGCTACTGGAGCTCAGCCACTCTGCGGGCTGCCTGGGCGGACGTCAAGGCACACCAAGCTACTGGGCAGTCAGGGCAATTTTCAGCTTCAATGGTACACCACGGAACGTGTCAAGTGATACTCCGGCAGGCCTCCAGCAGCAGCATGGCGGCACGCTGGTAAGAGGCGCGCCCTTATAAGATGCGAAAAGCCTTCAGTATTCACCTTTGCTTATCCTCGCATTCGTTGCTAGCTTTTATAACTCACTTGCTGTTTTACCTATACCTCTACCACTACCACTAGGACCAGCATGGCGGCCATGGACGGCTTCTACGACTATGTGAATACTGTGAAGACAACGAAATCGCCAAGGGTAACTCGTGCAACACCCCGACCTGAGAAGAATACAGCCACAGGCCGAGCTCCTCCACCGAGTACTTCGCAGCCTCAGCTATCGAAGCTGCAACGGCTCTGGGTACGGCTCTCGTCCGGCAGGCTGACACGCGCCTAAACGGTTCGACGTTTCTCCGTCGATGATCTGCAGGGAAAATGAGCGACGACGAGAATGGCATCTATGTTGGTTGGAAAGGCGCGGCTTTCTGCGACCGCAGCACCCTGGATCTCCTCTACGGCTGCGGCATCACTATCTATCTCTGCTGCTGGGCGGCAGTCCATCTGAACGTCCCGGCAGACGATGAAAGTGCTGTGGTGCGATCATTACGCAAGGTCAAATGGATGATTGTCTGTCTTATAATGCCGGAGTACATTGCCTGGGACGCCGTCGAAGAATTGTGGCACGCTAGGATCATGGTCAGAGAGTTTGCAGCCATAGATACTCTGCGGCACTGGACGCTCACGCACGCCTTCCTGCTCAAGATGGGCGGCTTTTCATTGACCACTGCCAACGGCGAACGATTCCGGCCATCTGTCGAGCATTTCTTGGTGCTTGCCAAGACCGGACAGATCGCAGTACCGGAACTGCCGAGCGAGGATATCGAAGACAAGAGCAAAGCTGACTGGATCGCCAAAGGTCTGGCTGTCTTTCAGATCTTGCGGTTTGCGCTGAGCTTGTTAAGCAGGGTGTCTGGAAATCTGCCGATCAGTACTCTGGAGTTGTTCACCGTGGTCATCATTTTCTACACGTTCCTGACGTACATTTGTTGGTGGCATAAGCCGAAGGATGTCAACCTGCCGTTTCGGTTCTCTACAACGGCGACATACAAGGAGCTCAGCACCGCTACTGACAGCAACATGTACCCGCGGTTTCAAGCACCAGGCAGCCGAATATCCATTACAGATTCGAATCTCAGCGAACAGACGAGGAACATACCGGTACACTGGACTTGGGGCTCCTTTCTCGTCGTCACCGCGGGATTTGGACCGTTGCACGCGCTTGCCTGGAATTACCACTTCCCAACCCCAGCGGAGCAGATTATCTGGCGGGCAGCTACAGTCATTTGCTCGGTCCTACCGTGCGTTGTCGTTCCGATACTATCTCCTACAATCAGAAACAATCTCGGGCGTGGTGGCATGATGATAGCATTATTTGTCGTGGTAACGAGTCTGGCGATGTATGTTCTGTTGCGGTTGTATTTGCTTGTTGAGAGCTTGGCGTCGATCAGAAATGCCCCCTCGGGTGTCTACAGGGTAGTGCGGTGGTCTGCTGTTTTGCCTGGCATTGGAGGATGACAGAGAGAGGTCATGATTTCGAAACGCATAATTGAAAGCTTTCTATCCATTTCTGGTATTTCTGCATCAATAACACCTTCAAATTCTCCCGAAATCACTGCGTCGAAGATCATAGGAGGGCGCCGAGAATGCGGCCGGTGATTTGGAGGGGATGGCGGCGATATCGACCGGGATTCATGCTGGCGAAAAGGGGTACCCTCCATCTTTTCATGTGAAAGTTGTGATTGTCACGGTGCCACCGTGGGCGATGAAACTGTAAACGACTGACCTTCATCTCTGGCCATAATCTGAGTCTTGTGCACAGGAAAAGCAACAGATCGGAAGCGACGCTCGACTACTATGAGTACGTGTAGAAGAAGTGTTATCATCGTCGCCGTCGCTACTGCAGGAAAGACGACGCCAAGCGGACCCGAGAGGAAGGAACGAAAACAGTTAAGTGGGGATCTCGGTCCAGCAGCCGAAAAGGAAGCAGCGAACCACCCTCAAGCTACCTTAGTGTACACGATACTAGGTACCCTCAGTGTGGTACTTATTAGTCGAAGGTAGCTCAGTCTACCGTTACTGCGAAAGAGTACATGCGTCCAAAGCTCACCACACTAAGGTAGTACCTTACCTTACAGAGTCACGATCCCACCCTGCATGATAACATCCTTTCTCCTATATCACCACCCGATACTTCCTTCTCAGACACGCTGCTTCGTTTCGCTTAAACCTCTGCTCCCTCTTTTCGACAATCTCGGCTCTTGAGGGCGATCAAACAACTACCTTGCCTTTACCTTAGATAGGTACCCTAACCCGGGCCTGCCCTTCAACCGTTTCACCCAAGGCATTGTTTGCGCGTCGCAACAGCCACCCCGCCCATTCTGGCATTGACGGCACTTCGACCACCCACGACGCGACCTGAGACAGTTGCCCGTTCCTTTGCCTGATTTACACAGCTCTCTCCCGCTTTCTAAAAGCAGAGACACCCTTGCGCTCATCGAAACCAAACATCACAACCACAGTTACTTATACCGGGTTTGCGCGCGCCCTTGTCTAGAACCGCTGCGGACGGATGATCTGATCTACCAAACAACAAGCCACACACACTGTCGAGAACAAGACAAAACAAAACAAAACAAGTCCCCAAAAAACAATGCCACCACATACACCCTCTCACTCGACATCCTCCACCGCGGCCCCAATTCCAATAAGCATCACAATCTGCGGTGACGGCGGCTGCGGCAAGTCTTCCATCACCCTCCGCCTCGTGCGCTCGCAATGGACCTCCGAATACGACCCCACAATAGAAGACAGCTACAGCATAACGCGCCGCATCGACGGGGCAACGTACCATCTATCTCTGACCGACACGGCGGGACAAGAAGAGTACCGCGGCATGTGGGCCTCCTCCAACCTCGGCGCCGACGCGTTCCTGCTGGTATACGACATCACATCCAAAGACAGCCTCGACGCCCTGGGCTACTTCAACGACCTAATAGACATGGAAGCCGAGACGCGGCTGGACAACGCCGCTAGAGCGATAAAGGCGGGCGTGAGTCCCGCGCTGGACGGCGGCGGGGCAGGGTCCGGCGCCAAGACTGTGCCGCCGGTGAAGATCGTGGCGGGGAACAAGTGTGATCTCCAGGAGAGCAGACAGGTGCCTGCGAGTCTGGGCTTGGAGTGGGCCAGAAGACGGGGCTGCGGGTTCATGGAGACCTCCGCGAGGCTGGAGGTCAATATCGAGGAGACGTTTGCCTTGATCGTGAGAAGGGTTGTGGAGGCAAGACGGCTGGCGCAGATGGGGGTGCTCGACCACGGGGCTGGACTGGACGGCGAGAGCAGGGTGGGCATGACCAAGCCGCTTACGCCGCTGCCGAGTGACAGCGAGAAGAGGGAAGTGGGCATGAGGGGGGTCAATATTGGGGATAGGGTTGGGAGGGGTGGTGGGGGCTTCTGGAGGAGTTTGAGGTGTTGGTGATAATTGTCTAGTGGTCGGGGAGAGGAGCTCCTTGGTTTGGATGTTTGAGCTGGTCGTTGGAGGCGGTCATGGAGGCGAATCTGACGACTGATTGTAAAGGAGGCTGTCGTTGGGCATCATCGGCTTGGGAAGGATGAGACTATGTCTTTAGGTGCTGCGTCGATTTGTTCATTGGGTGGTCTTGAGCCGAGCGAGCGAGCACATTCATCTACATATCTTACATACCTGTTGCGATGACTTACTTATTTTGGGAAATAGATACCTCGGCGTTATCGGGGTTGGAGATGCTGCAGTGTTCTAGGACAAGACAACAACGGGGGGACATCTTACTTCGAGCACGATATCCTTGCATACCTGTATCTAGATACTTTAAATGTCATTTGTTATAACACGTTCAGCTTGTTGCCACAAAGCAGCAAAATTATAGCCCTGACGGACAAAAGATTAGACGAACTCTCCCGCCGGGAATTGAACCCGGGTCCCGAGCGAATTTGCTCCTGCCGGATGGCGGATGACAAGCTCATATACTAACCACTATACTACGGAAGACTTACAGGTGTTGAACACCTGTCGTAGACGTGAGTCGTTGATAGGAAGAACGGGGCCCGAGTAGTATAAGTGTATGTGTATCCATAGATATGTGCGTGGACATGACTCACGATGGCACCATCGCTTGGTGGATAGATAAGGGCTTCGCGGGTCCTCAAGAAGTGTTATCGGTCGCCGTTCACGATAAAGGAAAGGAACCTCCAAGTGGGACAGACGCGGCTGCGGCTTACCACAGTACGGGACTTCACATACCCTCAGTCTAATAGCAGTGCAAGAGTCGAAGAGGATGGTAGCCAGCTCACCGTCCTAAACATGAGGTCGCTCACGACTCAATATAATATCGAGAGATTAGCGGTGAATCTCTCCATTGCTCACCTATGAGTGGAGATGTAGCCTGCCGCATCTCGGTGAGCAAGCAGTTCGAGAAAGCAGTAGAGAGCAGATATCTTCCAGACCCAGTCGTCCCAAGCTCCTATGTCGCGCCAGCCGCGTACCATCATGGAGGGCGCCATGCCCACCTAGGCTCGAGTACGCCAAATATCGCAATCCTAGATCATCAAGATCCTCATCTAATCTTACCGAGTCCCCCCATCTATTAGCCCGATATGCCCGATCTATTACTTCTTATGCTCGACGACCCATTCTCTCCAGGCCTTGTAATCCTCAAACTCGCACTTTTCCTTCTTCCCTTGGTATCGCACCACCTTGATGCCCATCTCTCTCCACCGATCTTTCTTGCCCACATATCCGGCCTTCCGCATAAGACTGAGAATCGTCTCCTCCTTGTCCCACCCTTGCTCGACAGCCACGTCCGGCAGGTAGGTAGCGCCATACCGCCGCCCGTGATGCACAAAACTGATTCTTATGCCGTGCTTGCCCAGCTCCCAGTCCAAGGGGTCGGAAGCGTCCTCAAAATGGGTCAGGAGGGTGACGACCACCTGCAGCGAGGGCAGCTCGCGCAGGGTGATGGGGTTGAAGCGGGTATCGTGTATAGCAGAGGTAATCGCGTAGGAGGACAAGCCCTCGTCCAGTTCCTGCGGCTCAAAGGTGCCGATACAGCCGCGGAGCGAGTACCCGTGGCGGGCGGACTTGATGTTCCACGTCACGAAGAGCGGGGTTTCGAGTATTTTCTCGTCGGCGAGGGGCAGTGAGGAAGTCGAAGTTGCTGCTGTGGAGACGCCAGATGGTTGTTGGAGAGAAAGGCTGGTGGAGCTGGACGAGGAGGATGAGGACGTGGAAGGGACGGGGGATGCGGTGCCACTCGAGGTACCGGAGAGACGCTCCAGAGCCGGGTGCCGCTTTGTGGCGGATTTGGATATGTCGGCGGCTGCTTCGGCGGCGAGGGCTTTGAGATAGTCGGCGTAGGATTCCTCCACTTCAGAGAGGGTCATGGACTTGCGGTGTTCGAGGTGTGAGGCTAAGGCCTCGAAGCAGTAGATGCAGTGCTCGATGGTCGCCATGTTGCTATCTTGACAGGGAAACTGGTCGACTGGGTTGTTGTTAGTTGTTGCCAGTTGTTGCCGTGGCGAGCACGGGCAGGCCGACTTGAAGTGAAGGACGTCTTGAGGAGTTGACTACCTCTGAGGGGAACGGCACGTGTAGGATCTGGACCCTGCGTAGTCCCTGCCGCGATATTTTGGAGGAATACTAACGAGGTGAGGTTTCGGATAGAGAGGAAAGGAATAGAAGCGAACCTGTCGCAGGCCGCGAAACGTACACGCTGAGTTGGGGCAATGGAGGGGTATGCGGGAGTGAGCACGAAGGAGGGGTTCGGCTATCAGCTGAATCAGCTGGCCCGATAAGGCGAGCTGCAGCTGAGCCTAATTAATCGCCGGCCCGTCTGCCACTTGCAAGAGGGCTGCTTGCAAGCATTACTCCACGGGGACTACATCATAGTAGTACTGCGTATAAAGGTAACTTAACCTTATTGCATAGTAGTGAACACTTGCCGCAGTCGGGGAGAGAAAGTAAGGTAGCAAGGTTCCCGTTGCTTTGACCCTAATCTGAACCATCTTATTCTTAGACCAAGCGTTCTGCTTGGGGTCAAGCTTTAGTAGATGATTCTTCTTTCAGCGATCGAGCTTCAATCCTAAAACAGAGCTCGCCATCCACCCTTTTCCCGATATTCAGCAACCTTATGACACGCGTGGTGTCTGGTTGTCTTGGTATTAGGTATAGTACCTGACTAGCCGAGCGAATTCCCACCGCGAGCCAATTGTGATCCATACGGTAAGGTAGTCCGAGAACATGAACATGTCGAACGTCTCGCTCTACCGTACACTACACCGCAGCAATCATCGTCAAACGACATGGAGAAACGCCACGACTGCAGGGTCGCGGTCGTTCCAAGGTCCTGCCGTATTACGGGTATATCGACCCTCGTTATACGTGACCCGTGCCCGGTACGTACCGTCATCGTATGATTGAGCAGACCCTGTGTAACATCCGTAGCAGGCAACCCTTGACGAAGCTTGCCGAAAGGAGGCTGGCTTCCAACGTTCTGGGCTGGCCTGTTGCAGGGTTAGGGTCGATCTCAATTCGACGACAGGGGGCTGGATGCGGCTTTCCGTACCATGCCCACATGGCAGACGGGCCTAGAACGTCGCTAGAAACATCTGACACTCGATCACTATGAGTGGTCCGCGAGTTGCAGCACTCCGCCGCGTCGGTGTCCAGCTTCGCGATGGTGCTGATTCTTGGGCCTTGAACTGCGGGCACACTTCGTGTTCCTCCCCCTCCTGGTTGGTCTCTCTTCCTTTCGTTCTTTCTCTCCCGTCGCGATCAACGTCTTCCAAGGTTAGACTTGGCACCCTAGACACTGTGTCTCGGCTGTCCTGCTCATTTGGCCCCAATCAGGTGAAGCTACCCAGAGCATCAACATGGATCTTCGTTTCTGGACTGTGGCAGATTATCATAGTAGACTCCAGGTGCTAGGGACGAGGACTCAAGTATAAGCCAGCATCGAAAGCTCCCTCTGACGATAGCCTACCTGGTACATGGCATTCCGGCAAAACAGAGACATAGATTTAGTCTCCTCCGGTCATAGACGACTTTACTTCCTCCGCTCCGCTTGCACCAGCCACTCAGTGTCATTACACCCAGCCTCAAGAAGCTAAGAGACAGGCCATGACGCCTGGACAAGAAAGTCATGCCACTCCAGCACCAAGGCGCAGTCGAAGCCTGGCCTGTGCATCGTGAGCAGACTGATCCTTCGCCGTGTATGGATGTGTACCGCCGTCATATGGGGCAGTGAGATCCGTCAAAAATGAGCAATAAACTGTAACCTCTCCTCCGGGTCCAGAACGTAGCCGAACGTGCCAAGGACTGGGCCTGACAGCGTATTCTACTACCGTTCGATGGGGACTTCTTGGGGCCATACCGTCGTGTTCTTTGTCACTTTCAATCTCGGAGCTGCTTTCTCTCCCATTTGTGACCTGTGTTTGTGCGTTCTGCCGCGGAAATTGCTACTTTGACAACATCCTGATGGTTGCACAACGACTTGAGAGTTTGCTTGCTCGTCATGCCACTCGACTAGCGAAACCAGACGTCCGTGGTACATCAGAATAATCACAGCCAAACAACAGTATGTCGTGGTGTCAGAGACCAACAGGACCGGAAGTTCCTCCTTTCCCCCCTTCGTCGACAAAGAGGGATCCTCCATCCAATTCACGAAGCCTCCGAGTTACAAAACGGGCCTGGGCGGAGTCCCGAGCATCCCGTCTTCACACATTGATGAAGAAAACCCGCACGCAAACAGGCCTTGTACGTGTCTACCCGCATATCGTTGTTGCTGGGGGTCGCCACGATCTTCCCTCCTGTTGTCGCACCAGGTTTGCGCAGGAAAGGCACGGCAAACATCCCAGCGGTGGGTGCCCTTGCCTAGATACCTAGATACGTGGACGAACTGTCGAATACCACGCTGTAGGCCGATCCCAGCACGCAGACCGGCCTGGCCATGAGCGAGTACGTTGCACGCAGCCCACCGATCGGGATCAGACCAACCCTCCCTGCCATAACGGACACCTCTGAGTGGTCAGCGACGTTGGCATGAGAGACGGAGGTGAGTGGTGCAGAACTGTGCCCGTTTCTTATAATGTCACTCATTACCAACCACGACCGTTCCGTCCTCTGACACACTTGCAACCATTTTGTCACACAGTGTCTTCGTCCTTCTCCCCTACTACTCGCTTCTTCCAATATGTGACCATCACAACTACCCTTGGCAGGGTCAACATTGTCTTCTCCCATTCTAGCTTGGCTCTACGGAACGATTGTGTGCACTTCGGGCTATTGAGCCCTAAGCACACATGATCAACATCCTCGTCGACCCGACCCGTGGTGAGCTCGCTTCCGTTCCACCGGGCACCGAGTTCTCCGATGGCTTCGTTGTCTATCCGGACAAGTGGCCGTCCGCTCAGATGGACAACCTCGATAGACACTCAGGACCTCCGCGCCAGAATTTAATGCGTCTAAGAGATGACAAGTTACCCCAATTGTAAGGGCGTGTATAGCGTTGAGAATGCATCGCCCGGCTGGACCCTTTGTTGAAGTCGACATTGTCCCCTTTTCACACAGAGCCTGGAACTCGAGCGCGACACCGCCATATGGCCGAGCAACCTTTGCGTCTCTGTCGCCATCAAAGCAGATGACAAGCTTCAACCGGCGAGGCCTAGAGACTGGAACCAATGTTCACTGAACAGGAGCGCATCCGCGGAATTGTGTGTGGGTAGGACGTCACTTGCACGACGACGAGGTTGATCGAAGAGGAGTAACTTGCCACATCCTCAGCAACCTGATGTCGACACATGCTTCGGTGTCGAATCTGAGAGCAACCCAGCGCGGCCTCGACAACTGTCATCCTCAAAGGCAACACTGGAAAACTGTCCTCATACTCGCGCCAATCGATTCGCCAAGTGATGAAACGAGGTCCGCTACCGACTGCTTCAGAAGTCCCAATAGCAACCACCCGGGCATTTCGACAGTCCGGAGCCTCGTCCGCC